TTCAATTTCCACCTGCGTTTTTCTTTCTTTATCCGGGCCCTATCAGGTGAGAGGAGGTTGTTCTGAGTCCACCGATCTCCTGCTACATTTTCACTTACAGGGAAGACCATAGAAACTAACTGTTGGTTTTCAAACAGTCCGACCCAAGGTGCATGTGTATGGCCGAGGGATCCTGCCATATCGGCTGGTAACAGCAGTGGTAACATCACTATGGGCAAGATACCAAACAGTATATATCTGGCTGCCATTGATTGTAACCTCGTTCTGATTTAAAGCGCTGCGGACTATGTTGGTGCTACATGACTAATATCAATGAGAAGAAGGTCGGGATGAGTTTTTTTTTTTTTGTTTGTTTTTTAACATTATTTAAAAAAATATATACTTGTAAAATTTGATGAAAGGATTATTATATTAATGAATAGCTTTCAGGTGACAGTTGTCCTTTAATCAGAGACTGTTACCTACCAGACATTCAAAACCCAATGATAAAGAAATTAATATACTCCACCTTTTTTACGCAGATGTTTAAGGGGCCTGATAAGGACATTGAATACATCTTTACAGCCCCATCCTCTGCAGTGTGTGGGGTAACGCTGGAGACAGCTGGCAAGAAGGAATACCTGATTGCAGGTAAGAGGAAGCTTTGGCACTAAAGGGAAACGTGTCATGGATCTTGCTGTCTCTCTTTGAGTATAATCCTGACATCTTATCCTATCCTTCTCTCCACTGCATCGGGCTCTAGGTAAAGCGGAGGGAGATGGGAAGATGCACATCACACTGTGTGACTTTATTGTTCCGTGGGACTCCCTGAGTCCGACTCAGAAGAAAAACCTTAATCAGCGGTATGAAATGGGCTGCGAATGCAAGGTAAGTGGGCACTCAGAGAGGATCCCTGATATGTAAATGTGACCTGTATTTGTGTTGTGAGGAAATCCCATTGTCAACCTCAGTGTCTTTCTTAAAGGGAATCTATACTGCTTATCTGACTCTCTGCTCCCCAGCTGTGATCTCCATACAGAGGTAGGTGTCACACTTCTGTAACACCCAGCTCTGGTCCGTCCTGCACTTCACTGATTTGCCTTGCTTGGCACCCACCCCAAGCAGGTCTTTCTTCATGACGCCGATACGTTGGCTTTGTTGCCAGCGAGCTGGTGTCTTAAAGGAGTGACATCATTCACTCCGTACCTCTACTTCCTATCCAGCGATGGCACACAAACTAGGAAGTTACCATAGCAATCAAAGCGCATGTGGTTGATATGGGTGGAGAGCAAAAAGGCCGTCTGTGGGAGGTTTATTTAAATTCATTCTTCAGCATAGAGTCTATTTTTAAGTCATTTAATTTTTTCCAAAATCCATACATTCTGTAGCAAAACTGCTGGCAGAATGCATAGATGGAATTTTATATTGGCTGATTATATCATCCAATGTGTCGTTACTACCTCTGTACTAAACTGTGCACTATATCAAAATCCATCGTACTCTATTAAATAATGAAATGTTATTTACTTTGAGTTGTCGATATTAGAAAGGGTTAACACCCAGTGCTGTCGGCATGACTGATAATCTCATAACATTTAGATGTACTCTGTTTTTTACTTTAATAGATGTTGGTTAATTGAAAATGGAAAGTGTTGGTATTATATGAGCTCCTTGTCAGGTTACCCAGAGACCGAATTAAGCTGGGGATTTTAATAAGCTGATTAAGACTTGAAATCCACGGTTAACCCAAGACTTAGTGGTTCTGGATATGGTTTTATTTCAATTGCACATACCGCAGACTGAATGGTGGGTGATGTCACTGTGTTTCCTTTTGAAAGTGACACTATACAGTGAGATATCGATCACACAGCACATACATGTCCTTGCCAGTTTGAGATTTCTGGGAGTCAGACTTCAGGTCAGGCTGTGAAACGTGAATATGCAGGTATTAAATGCTGGATCCCAAGCTTTTGATACATATCTATACCGTGATAAATGGTTCCTGTATGTTTGGAACTTTGGCTCCTCTAAATGCCGTTAAATAATTATTTAACAGTTCAAGCAACAAACAGATCCCTTGCACTTTTTTAAAGATTGCAAGGTCATTATAATAGTTGCCATCGCGCACTACAAAGCATTCTGGCCTGCCTCCTGTTCCCATAGTAGTCACATTACCCATGCCTGCTTGATTTAGCACATATTGTGCCCAAGTCTCTCTGGCAGGGATACAAGGTAGCTGAAAATGAAAACAGGGGATTAAACAAGATCATGGGAAGCCTTTTAATACCAGTCGAGTTACTCTGTATTTAGTTTATGCGATTAAATTGTTTTATTTTTGACAGTCTGAATACATTTGATATATAAGCAGTGTTAAATAGACACTTCAAGCTTCAACTGACCTTAATGCATTTGTGTATTTTAGTGAGTTTGTGAGTGGGTCTAAGAATTTTACTGGCTCTATTAGTTGGTCTGTCTACATTATTGGCCCTGTGAGTGGCTGTATGTCCTGTGTTGCTGGCTCTGTGAGTGGCTGTATGTCCTGTGTTGCTGGCTGTGTGAGTGGCTGTATGTCCTGTGTTGCTGGCTCTGTGAGTGGCTGTATGTCCTGTGTTACTGGCTCTGTGAGTGGCTGTATGTCCTGTGTTGCTGGCTCTGTGAGTGGCTGTATGTCCTGTGTTACTGGCTCTGTGAGTGGCTGTATGCCTGTGTTGCTGGCTCTGTGAGTGGCGGTATGTCCTGTGTTGCTGGCTCTGTGAGTGGCGGTATGTCCTGTGTTGCTGGCTCTGTGAGTGGCTGTATGTCCTGTGTTGCTGGCTCTGTGAGTGGCTGTATGTCCTGTGTTGCTGGCTCTGTGAGTGGCTGTATGTCCTGTGTTGCTGGCTCTGTGAGTGGCGGTATGTCCTGTGTTGCTGGCTCCGTGAGTGGCGGTATGTCCTGTGTTGCCGGCTCTGTTAGTGGCTGTATGTCCTGTGTTGCTGGCTCTGTGAGTGGCTGTATGTCCTGTGTTGCTGGCTCTGTGAGTGGCGGTATGTCCTGTGTTGCTGGCTCTGTGAGTGGCGGTATGTCCTGTGTTGCTGGCTCTGTGAGTGGCTGTATGTCCTGTGTTGCTGGCTCTGTTAGTGGCTGTATGTCCTGTGTTGCCGGCTCTGTGAGTGGCTGTATGTCCTGTGTTGCCGGCTCTGTGAGTGGCTGTATGTCATGTGTTGCCGGCTCTGTGAGGGGTCTGTGTTTAACTGATGTATTCATTGTACCAAATTTAGCAACTCCTGGGGTCAATTTCTGAAAGTGTGAAATAAATTAATAAAAAGAGAAATATTTCTGAACAGAGAACGTTGAAATGAGCTGTAAGAAATCGTTATTTGTTTTGTTTCTCTCTGTCCTGCAGATCTCCCGCTGTCCTTCCATGCCCTGCTTCATCACGTCACAGGATGAGTGTCTTTGGACAGACTGGGTGACGGAGAAGAGCATTAATGGAAGACAGGCGAAGCACTACGCATGCATCAAGCGTAGCGACGGATCCTGTTCCTGGTATCGGGGCAGTGCGCCACCCAAGCAGGAATTCCTCGACATACAAGACCCGTAACTCTCACGGCTCCGGAGGAGAGGACGCGGGCAGCTTTACCGTACTCCAGTTTTGACGTCACGTTCTGCCAAATCACCTGCTCCTAAGGAAGGAAAGGCTGTAAAATGACGGCTATGGTGGGCAATTATTTAACCCCTTCAGTGCACAACTGCATTGAAAGGATTAAATGTATCAAGGATTTGAGGGATGGATTTGTGTCTCTCCCTCCATGCTCCCTAACTTTTTTTTTTTTTTTTATAACTCCCTTCACTTCCCCCTACCCATACAAAAACACACTCCTTTCTCTTTCACACAGTCTGTGTTCTGTGCGCTCAATACCACAGGGAGGACCCCCAACCTTATTCTGTGTAGCTGGCCTACAGCCCCCTTTCTAACTCGGGGGGCCTCTCTGGAACCCCACACATTATGTATAAGCTTCTATGTTATTTTATTTCTCTTTTCTTTGCTGGCAACCTTTATAGACCATTAATGGAATCAATTCTACTGAGTGTTTTCTCCCACGCAGCGTTAATAATTGAGTGAACCCAGGTATCTGCTTGCTATATTCTAATCTGGTTACAGCTTGAGCCCTAACTCCATACACCTCTGTGCATTTTGGTTTTTTTGTTGTTTTCTGATTCCTTGTAAATATATTGGACAAGACAAAAAACAAAAATGCGTCTTAGGGAGAACCTGCAGGGGAGTGTTCTTAAACCTGTAAAGGGGAACTACCATGAAAAATGATCTTTTCATATGTTGTATTACATATTAAAAATGCCGCTTTGCATAGCTGCAACAATCATCAGCCTGAGGCGTCAAATATATTGTGTGGGTAGGGGGTTATTCTCCCCTACTACCTCTCTATTATCGGTGAGTGACAGCCAGCAGATTTTGGCCACTGAAAGTGGTTCTCCAAAAACTCAAAAATCCTTCACTCTAAAGGGATATGGCCGTTACAGCTCTGCAAAATATCTATTCATATGTTCTACAACATAGCAAATATATATATACACTGTATATATGTGTGTGTGTGTGTGTGTGTATATGTGTATATGTATGTATGTATGTGTGTATATATATATATATATATATATATATATATATATATATATATATATATATATATATATATATATATATATATATATATATATATATATAAAAATAGCTGAATCAAAGGTTGCACTCACGGATTCTTAAAACATAACTTTTATTGTGTACTCCTAAAAAAATCGACGTTTCAGTCCTATTCAAGGACTTTCATCAGGATCATAGACCTATGTCTATGATCCTGATGAAAGTCCTTGAATAGGACTGAAACGTCGATTTTTTTTAGGAGTACACAATAAAAGTTATGTTTTAAGAATCCGTGAGTGCAACCTTTGATTCAGCTATTTGGATATTTGGAGCCCTGGGAGTGCACCCGGTTTGGATACATGGAGTTTGAGTGCAAGGTACAGTGCTTTTTTCTTTATATATATATATATATATATATATATATATACACACACACACACAATTAATTTTTTATATTGATTGTCCCCATTTAAAAGCCAGTGAAGATGCCATTTTAACATTCTGGTTTGTTAAAATAGAACATGCGGATTAAATAGAATATCCCATGCTGGCATAAAGTCTTCTGGGACCAGATGGTTATATTTTCAAGAAAAAGTCAGTCCTTAAAAGAAATATCTGTCAACGTATCATTAAAGCATGATTGTAGAAATACCGTTTGCAATCAGCGCCCCCATCTGGGATGCATGAGAAAAACACACAAAACCCATGTCTAAAATACAGATTCCTCTGTACGTCATCCGGTTGCCATTCTCGCTCACACTAGGTTAAATAGGGACAAGTCACATATAACAGCAAGCTACAGATTCCTCTCTCCCCCACCCAAAAAAAAAAAATCTTGCATTAACTATTTTTAAAGCAAAATAATTCTTAAATTCTTTTTAAAACTACTTTTTAAACCTGTGCATGCTTCTTAACTAATTGCAAAGGAATCCTTACTTACATAACTCTAAGTCAAAACATCTTTTAAAAGAAAGTATGTTCGAAACAGTAAAAGGGTTTATTTAACAATTTTTGAGTCCAAATTTTTATCCAACTCCGATGTCGTCACAGCTTGCCAAATTTAGCAATTTTATTTTTAGTTTGCAGTAATCCCCAGGTACGTCTATAAGCCCCATTATATATGTAAATATGTTGCACATTTTAATGTTCTGTATGTTTCTGGGCTTGGTGAATGAATAAGTGATGAGGAGGGCAGCTTAAACAATAGAATTATCAGGAATGATGACGTTTGGGTTTTTTTAAATACATTTTCTTAATTCAGTATCTTGGCAGTTATTGAATGAGTGAATTGTGGTGAATTATATTGTTCTTCTGTTTCATTTTAGAATACCAGTTAGCTCTACTTTTGGCCCTCTCCTATTACTCCTTTGTGCGGGTGGGCTGCTAATGGAAAGTAATACTATGCATTATATAGATTATGTATCCTGCAGGAGGGAAGGTCATTTTGATATTGAGATGGTTCGTTTGTGATTATTCATTAGTCTCCTTCTTGGAGCATGTGAATGCTTCATACTACAGAACAGCACTTTTCATACCCAAACCACTGTTTGCAACAGAAACAGGTCATGGATGTCCATAAAATATGGAGTATCTGACAACCCAACCCCACGCAATAATCAGGGTGTTCAGGTAGTGATCTTGTGTCTTTGTAAAGTTCATTATAAAATCTACTTCGCACTCCATAAGGCTTAGTTTGAGTGTCGCGTTGCCTTGTGCTATCGGCAGGTATAGAGAGTAGTGTTTCCTGACAGTGTAAAGTATTCAAATCCAGAGGAAGTCATTCATAGCTGCTGCTTAGATAAAGGAGCTGGCTTCCCTCTAGCAGAATATGAATACTGGATTATGTTGGCGGCACTAGTCATGAGCCTCCCAACGAGTGGCCAGGCTGCAACTTTGAGCCACTTAACCTTTTTCAAACTCCACTTTAAATTCACCACAATACATTATTTAGTCAATAATTTCTCTGTAATGGCCATTTTTATATTCTCTGTTCTTTGCAGTAAATTTATATAAGTATTCCCCTTTTAACTTGGTTTATTCGGTAATTCAGTCTTTTCTTAATATGGTAAGTCAGTACATGTAAAGTGCTGCTGTTTAATGACTGTATATAGAGTTCATATGCTTCTAGCTAGAAATCGGTTTATTTTTCAAACATTTTCTTCTTTTGTGATGCATTCACTGATTGGTTTCCCGCAGTCAGTGTATGAAGGCTACATACAACCAGCACACTATATGAGCCAATTGATATAATGAAAAAAATTATAGCTAATTTTTCATATATAAATATTTTAATTGTATAGTCCAAGGTAAATAGTAGGACATTCTGATCACCTTAAGCAGAGGTGCGCAGACATTCGCTTTAAGGGGGCAGCAGATCTGTAAAATGTGTAGTACAGGTCTACGCTGTCTCGGTACGTGCTGATCCGCTTTGTGGTATTTGCTAGAGGAGGCAAATTGTGCCTGGTATATACTGCGTAGCATGTGGAAATGTTTAATCTCTTTTTGTGCTGGACGAGTTGTCTATCATATTTATGTAACTAGTACTGGCGTTTCACTCCCCTCCGCAATTACTTCCTGGTCCCCTGTGTAAACCCCATCACCCCCTGTACAAACAAGTATACTGTAATTAACAGTAATGCTCTTGTTAGAGTCCTTACTAGGTAAGTACAAAAAGGAAATGTATTTTATTTCTGCTGCCGATTATTAATTTAAAGCTTAGTTATCTTTTTATTATTATTATTATTATTTGTGGGTTCTTATTTTCGCTGAAATTTAAAGTCTGAGACTTGTAGAGAAAGGAAGAAACACTGCATGTCCCTTGCTTTGCACATGTTCCGATACTCAATGACAAATTCTGTATGTGAAGTTTCATTGCTGCCATTAAACAGTATTATCTGCCAATGAGACTGGTGTCGCCTCTTTTCTGGTTGGTCGTTTTAACTTAGTTTTCATTACACTCTGCGATAGAGAATGCGATAAGTAAACAGGGAGTCTCTATAATCCAGGAGGTTGCAAGCTAAAACCTAAATGGCAAAACGTCCACAAATAACCTACATCAGCATTTTGCATGAATTTTGCCATGTGGGTATTAGTGACTAAGCCGGCTACTATTCCTGTCAGTAGCCGGATTCCCCTCCCGGTTGTTGAAACCGTTTAAAAAACACCTTTAAACACTTTCCAGCACTTGATGTCCCTTGGCACTGGCTCTGCCTCTTCTAATGTCAGCAACAGGGAGTCACTAATGCACATGTGCAGCCATTCCCATAGGAAAGCATTTAATCAATGGACGCTGGACATCCTCATGCAAAGTGTGAGAACAGCCAACGTATTTTCACAGAGTTAGAAGAGACAGGAAGCGCCTCTAGTGGCTGCCTTGTAGACAGCCACTAGGGCCAGTACGTTGCAGGATTAAGGGGGCACCCACACCGCTTCAATTAGATAAAGTTGTCTGGATGCCTAATGTCCCTTTAATGACAATAAAAAAGAATAAATGGTAGATATTTTGAAAGTTCGTTTTGGTGACACTACCTCTAATAGCGCTTTATACTAGGGCAACTTAAATGGGTACTGATACTCGCTAGGATTTTTAATATTAAGTTGACTTAACCCATATACGTAAATTAAATCTATGCAAACAAAATAAAGCCTTGCGCTCAAACTCTCACTACTCATGGGCGGCAGCCCCAATAGACGACAAAAAAAAAAAAAAACTAAAAAGAGTTACTTGCACACTGTCCCAAATCTGATTTTTTTTTTTTTTTTTAGTATCACACCAAGTTCTAATAGAAAAAAAAAATTATTGATGATTTTTTATGTTTACTTTATGGTGTAATTTCCAGGGAAAGTGACATTTCTGCTTTAATATCAACACCTAAACTGTTAATTCTGTTCAGGGAGTTTCCAATGATGCTATTCCTAACTCATCTAGTGCCTGCTAGACATCCCAGGCCTACCTTCTCTCTACACACTATGTGAATAGCAGGGAAAGGGCAAATCCCATTCTATTATTGGGAGGTTTTTTGTTTTTTTTCATGAAAGGATTCAAAGAGTATAATGGTCAATGTTTGACCAAGAAATGTATGCTGTCATTGTATTAATGCTGTTAAAACGTTACAGGTTTGCAATCTCAACTTTAATTTATTTATTTTTTAAATGCTAATGTTTACGAATGAGTTTTGCATTCTGTAATTACATTTTTTTTATTTTTGGCCAATATTTTGACATTCCTGGCTAATCATGGCAGCATCACTTATGGGTAGCTCCTCCCTTAGCAGTCACAGGACAGGAATTAATTAGATTAATTAATCAGACTGATAGGTATAAGGAGTCCCTCCTCCCCCTACACCTCAGTCTTTTTTCCTGTCCTTAGCAAGTTCTACAGGACTTTTTACATTTTGTTTATGGCCACCTTCCTGCGTTTGTCGTGGGTTCGTTCCAAATGAAGTTCAGCCTCTCTTCATTTGAAGGACCCGGTAAACAGCCTACATGAGCAGGACTAACTGGGTCAGGTTCAGTGTAAGTACTGAACTGCAGCGTGGGAAGTAAGTGTTTGAGGGAGACACTGTTTCTGTTTATTTGTGGGGTTGGTTAGCCTTAAAAATTCCCCCTGTTTTCAGCCTGCCCCTACTAATTGGGGTTATATATCCCCCCCCATACCTTGTTGGCAGTATTTGAATCCATGCTTAGGGGTCTTGTCCTTTAGGATCTGTTTCTTGCCTCTTGTTTGGTGCCTTCCCTGCTCCCTGGCTCTGTTCCAGCCTCTGATGGGTTAATGTGGGGCTGTGCAGGCTTCCCTGCTCCCTGGGGCTCCCTGTGTGCCGGGCATTGGGGGCTGGAACGCATTATGCGTTCCAGCCGACTGTTTGTTGCTCGCAGCCGGTTCCGGCGAAACCGGAAGTAATTTGCATGCCGGTCGCGAGCGTTTGGAACGCATAGCGTGCGTTCCAGCGCTCTGCGCATGCGCGAACCGGGCAATCAGCTGTTCGCTGCCCGGACCTTTTTTAAAGCATCTAATACAGCTGCCTTGGCGCTATATCTGCTAGCCTTATGTTGGTTTACCCCTGGGGAAAGCATTGGTGTCCAGTTTGTGCCCAGCTACTCCTATCTGCTGCCTGGCTGCATAGTGGATGTCCTGCTCTTTAAGGTAGGATTGCTGTTTTTACTACTTATTGGAAGTATTGCTTTGTCAGTTTGCCTATTTATCCCTTTGGGGAATTAGGTCTTGGATTTTCCTTTCGTTCTTCTTTATAGTATGGATTCTCCCTCTGCCTCTGCAAGATCCCTCTCTAGAAAACATAGGTGAGCCATTTCTTAATTTTATTGGGGGGGGGTGTTGTTAAAAGAGTGCCATACTGAGCCTGTAATATATGTCATATATGGCTTCATTCCAGCCCCAGCATTCATTTGGATTCTCCAGCGAGAAAATCACGGGAAAAGTCAAATAAATGCATTAATTGTTCTTCGCCTGCTCCGAATAGAAGGAACCTTTGCAAGGAATGCTTGTTGGAAGTCGCTGATGCCCCCAGTAGGAGCTCTCCACAAGACGACCTTAAGCTCTGGATTTCTCAGGCTATTGCTGAGGGCTTTATGGCTACCACGGGATCTAGTGGTCCAAGTAAGAGACGCAGAGCGGAACCTCAGTCTTCCAGCTCTGATGAGGACCCTGATGTCTGGGAGGTATCAGATGAAGGTGAGGAGGAAGCTGAATATGCCTCCACGTCTCTTGTCTCCAGGTCTATGGATAGACTTATTACCCTTCTCAGAGACACGCTTAGTCTCACTGAAGAAAGATCTGAATTGAAGGAGGCTGACAGGTTTTTTGAGGACCTATAGCCTAACAGACCTACTTTCCCGGTGCATGCGCCAATCAGGGATATGATCCTTCAGGAATGGAATAAGCCTGAAAAGAAGTCCACCTTAAAAAATAAGTTTGCGAGGGTTTATCTGTACTCTACAGTGGATTGCTGCCTGTGGAACTCAGTTCCTAAAATTGACGCTGCAGTGATCCATATGGCTAAGAAAATTACACTGCCTATTGACTCCATGGCATATCTCAGGGAGCCTATGGAGAAGCGTATGGATGGAGACCTGATTAAAGACTACTTGGCCCTAGGGTCCGCCCTTCATCCGGCAGTGGCACTGACGACTCTCTCCAGAGCCTTGAAAGTGTGGCTCGCTAATCTGAAGGACGACATTGATCAGGGTGTCCGTAGGGAACATCTGTTGGAAAGCTTCAAGGACTTTAGTCTAGCCACGGAATTCTGTTCAGAGGCCTCCCTGGACATCACTCGCATGATTGCCAAAAGCATGGCCCTGTCTGTGGCTTCTAGAAGGGCCTTGTGGCTTCATTCGTGGGGTGCTGACTATGCTTCTAAGGCTTCCCTGTGTGCACTTCCGTTCCGAGGGGATCTCCTTTTTGGGAAGATTCTGGAAGATGCTATTCAAAAAGCTGCTGATGGGGAAAAAGGCGTTTACCTCAAGCTGGCAGGAAGAGTTTTTCCCTCCTCCTGGAAGACCAAGCGCTTCAAGGATCGGTCCTTTCGGGACAGCAGGAGCTATAAACCAGGAAGGGAGTTTTCCAGGAATTCTTCATGGAAATCCTATTCGCACTCATCTTCCAATAAGGCTTCCAGAGGAAGGGGTGCTAGAACCTCAGGGAAGACCTTCTGAAGGTCCCCAGGCCGAAGTTCTTCTACCCCATATGGGCCAGCAATATTTCAGACCTATGGGTCACTTCCATCGTAAAAGAAGGTTACAGAATAGAATTCTCATCTTACCCGAAAACTGCATTCTTCAGAAGATCAAAGGTGCCGGTAGGCATCAAACGAAGGGCCATGAGGTCCTGCATTTCTGTACTCCTGGAACAAAAAGTGGTGAAGAAGTTCCAAAACAGGAATGGTTCCAGGGAATTTACTCCACGGTCTTCTTGGCCCCAAAACCACAGGGAAAGTGGCGTCTCATCTTGAATTTGAAAGGCGTGAACTCCTTGCTCGACGTAAGGACGTTCAAAATGGAATCCTTGAGGACCATCTTGAAGTGTGTCAAAAAAGGAGACTGGATGACCTCAATAGACTTAAGGGACGCCTACTATCAATCTTGGGTCCATTTCAAGGAATTGTAGCTCAACATACGTCGGTGGCAATGTCCATTCTTCAAGACCATGGTTGGCTCCTGAACGTGGGAAAGAGCTCCCTCGTTCCTGCACAAACTATCGTTTTCCTGGGTACGGTAGTGAATACCGTGTCTGCACATGTGTTCCTGTCTCCAGAAAGGGTCACGAAGATCAGAGACAAAGTAAGGAAGCTGCAAGTTCTCGAAACTGCACCTGCAAGAGAAGTCATGAGTCTCCTGGGTTCCTTGACTTCAACAATAGGCTTGGTGAAGTGGGCTTCCTTCTCCAGTTCAACAGAGTGGAAGCGGATTGGGAACAGATGATATCTCTTCCCCTTCCCGTAAGGGAAGGCTTAAACTGGTGGAAGAGCGAGAGGAATTTGACAACTGGCTTCTCGTTGGAAGACCCCCCTTGGAAGGTTATTACAACAGATGCCAGTTCTTTTGGATGGGGTGCCCACTTCAGTCCTATATGGACTCAAGGGAACTGGACCCGAGAAGAGAGTCGCCTACACTCAAACTTAAGGGAACTGAGAGCGGTTTACAAGGCCATTTTGAGATTCCTGCCGAGGCTACGGAATTCTTGGGTTCTAATCAAAACAGACAACCGAGCGGTGGCCTCATATGTGAACAACCAAGGTGGCACGAGGAGCAGGTTGCTCCTGGAAGAGCTGGCTCCCTTAATGGCTATAGCCATGACCTATCTTCAAGGCCTGAAGGCGATTTATCTCCCAGGTTCGGAGAACGTAACGGCAGACTTCCTCAGCAGAAAGGAAATTCTTCCGGGAGAATGGCA